CAAACAACGCATAAAAATTAATTTATTTATAATTAATGTAAGTATAAAGAATAGAAGCATTATTAATGCAATAATCACTAATACACTTTATCTAACATTATTTTTATATACCTTACTAAAAGACTTTAGATTTCATATTAGGTATTGAAGATTGTCAATTTTTACAACGGCTAATTAACATATATCTCCTGTTTTAATTTGTTCATTTTGATTCATGGTATTATTAAATTAACTAATGTTTAATATGAATTTAAACAATGTGCATAGTTAAAAATTATACAAAAATAATATAAGTCGCAATAATTAACAATTTAAAATAATTCGAAAACATTTAAAAGGTTATGGTAAAATATATTTCTTTTTCTCGACTATATGTGGTATTGAAATAATAAGTAAGACAAACATTCTTTACCCTAGAAAAAGAAGACAGACAGATTTTAAAAGAATGGAAGAATATAAGATATATAAATATTTCTCAGAAACCAAAAGAATAAAAAGTTTGGGCAACACTAATATATGTATTACACAATATTTGGCTCTTCCATTCTCTACATAACCCTACGTTTTGTCACTCTTTAATCATGATGCCTCCGACCACCTCCCGTCTCAAATTATTTATTTTATTTTTTAAAAAATAAGGATTAAGAGATAATTAATTATTTTATAATTATTCATATATTAAGATATTATATATTTTATTTATTTAATATAATCTTTCTTTATTTTATATTTATTTAACTATGTATTATCTTTTCATTTTTGAGGTGTATATAATTTTCGATAACAAATACTACTAAAACAAATGAGATAAAAGTAATTTCTAACCAAAAAAATACTCTCTTCGTCCGGTATTGTTTGTCATGATTTCTATTTTTGGAGTCAAACTATAAATACTTTGACAAACATTTTAAGATGTATTTTTTAATCATATTAATATGCAAAAAATTGTAATTTATAGTACTTTTCATATAGTTGTAAAATATCTAATTTTTTTGTTTAAAATATCGAATAAATGTGACCAAATTTACCTTTAAAAATCAGTCAAATTGATTTTCCATAAGCGTAACATGACAAACAATTCTGGACGGAGAGAGTAAAAAATAAAAGTAATGAATTTTATTTAAATAATAAATAGTTTGAGATAATAATTTTTAAAATTATAATAAATAATTTAGGAAGGAAGGAGTAATAAATGAAATCTAATTTTGGGATTACAAGTACAACAAGGTTACTATGACAAAACGCGTTAAATTGTACCTGATCAACAATCAAATAATCATTGGGACCCTTCATTTCATTAACAACTCATAAATAGAGTAATTGCGTCATTTTTTAACCAACAATATATTCGCTTAATTTTTTATAAAGTCATCTAAATAAGTAAAGGATAACTAATTTTTTTTACCATCTTGAAGTTTGAGAAATTATTCTCTATTGATCTTTCATTTAAGTAAAAATAATTCTAGTCTAAAAAATAAAAGATAACAAAAGTAAAAATATCAAATATTATCAAGACAATGACTATTACAAAATAAAATTATTAAAGAATATCAAAAGTCTCATATCAGGAGTTAATAAGATAGATGAACTTTTTATAAGAGTTAAACAATTCACTCTCTTTGAGTTAACTTATAGTGTGTGAGCTAGATCTATGACCTAATTTAATATTGTACTAGAGCAGGATCCGTCTCAACCGATGTTGGGACCTTATAATTAAAATTATCCACGCACCAAATGCTAAGTACTGAGTGTGAGGTGAGGTATTAAATAATGACAAAAATCTCTTATCGGTGATTAATGTGATAAGATGGACTCCTTATAAGGCTTGGACAATTCTCCTCCCTTTAAACTAGCTTTTGGGGTGTGAGTAAAAACTAAGATCTAATTTAACAAAAATAATAATTGAAGTGTAAAAAGTAATAGATAGTGAAAGAAATCAAAAGATAAATAACTAGCTAAGAGATACTGTAATTATTATTAAGGATGGATAATAAGATTATAAGACAATGATGTATGCTACCTATATGAATTAAAATGTATGCTACTTTTACTTGTTCATTTTAAACGTTTAAGAGAACTTTATTATGTTATTCTATACTACTTAATATTGAATAACTATATTATTATGTACATGTTAACTTTTATTGCCTATTTGAATTGCATTACATAACTTTAAAAAAGAAGTTATTTATATATAAAAATATTTTTCGATCACTTTATCTAGGAGAAAAAGTACATGAGGTATATTGGGGTAGTTTTGTTATATAATGATATAATTTATTCATGGATAATTAATTTTGATATTATTGTTTCACTCGCTAACAAGGATAATATTATATATTGATACTAATTATATTCTTAATATAACTTATCCAAAAATTATTAACTAAACAGGGGATAAAACAATTCTAAATTTTTATATCGGCACTATAAATATTTATCCAGCATATTTTACTACATATCAATCACAAAAGAACTTTTTACTTTTGTCTTGAAAGACTTTTTTTTTTTCAAAACGACAAAAGCAGAAATTGCTTTTAAAGGAATGGTACTGATCAATAAATGAATTGAAAATTATACAACTTTGATTTTAAATTTTAGTGTAGGTAAAATTGATTGTTTAATCATGTCCAATTAAGTTTTTGAATAAATTGATTGCTTGTGTTTAATAGGTACAATTAGTAATAGCTTATGAAATTGATTAAGATATGTACAAAAAGATTCAGATATCATTGTTATTTTAAATAAGAAAACACAAGTGGGAATAACATCAATTATTTCATCATTTTGTAGTGAACAATACGTATATTTGGAAACTATAACGCACCTAAAGTTCTAGCATTATTTCATGATACTTTTGGCTAAATGCATATGCATGCATGTCATATTCTGCAATTATAATCATGCATGACATTTCATGAATAAAATTATATCAACACAAATAAGGACTTTGCCTCCTTGGGCTTAAATTCCCTAAAACAAGTCAAACAAATTATTTTTATGAACCGTTATACTTTTTAGCCTACATAGGTAAAAGTTTTGGGCAAAAAAATGTAACGGATACAACGAATTAATTACTAGTTATGATCACCATTGAACATGATGACCATACCATTACAAATAGTTATGATGGTGTGCAAAAATATTACTCCCTCCGTCCATTTTTATTTGTTATGTTATGCTTTTCAAAAGTCAATTAGACTAATTTATAAAGTTAAATTAGATTACATTAATTTGATATTTTAAACAAAAAATTTTAATATTCAAAAACTATACAAAAGTACTACATATTGTAATTTTTTGCATATTAATGTAATAAAAAAATACATCATAAAATGTTAGTTAAAATTTTATCGGTTAATCCAATAAAAAAAAATCAAGACAAATAAAAGCATAGACATTTAAAGTTAGTACAATTTATAATTTTGATATCTTATGTATTGACATGATCAAGCAATCAATTTGTTCAAAAACTTAATTGTATCTATTAAACACAAGATGCTAGGATATTAAAAAATAAAATCTTGCTTACTTTCTTTGAACGCTTTAAATCTTTTATATAAAAAATAATTCGTGAACTAAATACTTCTTTTCAAAAAATGGAGACTCATCAATGTCACTACTCTCTCTCTCTTTCACTCCCTATCTTCTCTCAAAACAAAATATCATCACAATAAAAAAGATTTGATATTAAATTAAAAATTCTAAAAAAAAAACGTTGGTTCTAGTTGGACGGTGGCAGCTGAAAAAAAAAAGGACGGTGGCAAACGGTGGCGCTGAAGAAATTAGATTTTTTAATTTGCCCCTTAAAAGTAGTTTTTTTTTCCTCATAATTATTTAGTCCTAATTTTGAACCAAAAATGTCATATGAATCCGTCAATTCATTGTTTTGTTGCACTATTGGTGAGTATGTTACAAAAATTTCCCTCAGTTTCTTTTACTTTGTCGTGTTACATTTTTTATAATTAATTTTTAAAATAAATTAAAATATATTAACTCGATATATTAGAATAAAAAATTTAAATATCTGATAAATTATACTAAAAAAACAAACGGAGTATAAATTGAGTATTCACTCTCATATAAAGTATCTAATATATAAATAAAAGTTCACGTTTTTGTCTTTAGATCTCCACATATATTATGAAAAGTAAATTAATAGATTTACTAGTATTCTAAAATCTTTTTCATTCGAGAGAGCGCTTCACTAATTGGCTAAATCTTCTAACCTAATTATTTTATTAACGAGTCGTATTATTTTAAGCAGCCTGAAATCCAAATTCACAGCTATTTTTGTCTCTATTTACACGTGAAAAGAAGCGGAAAATTTTGAAAGAAAAAGGGATTATTATATACGATGATGACTTGTGACAACCTCACTTTTAACATAAAGATAATACCCAAAGAACAAAACACTTCCAAATCCCTAAGTAGTTGAAGCATTTAACCCAAAAAAATAAAAAAAATATTCAAGCAAGTAATATGTTTTGCAATCATGATTTACTGCCTTATTAAAACAGTTAAATTTATATAATAAATTTGTTCGATAATAAATAAAAATGTGATTATACTATTAGATGTGATAGTTATATAAATTTAATAAGTATATAAAAAATTCGACCGAAAAAAAAGCTAATTTTTATTTCGCAAAAAAATAAAAAAAATTAATGGAAAAAGTGTTTTTCTTCTTCTTCAAGATAGTACAAGGTGAATAGCACCGACTAACAAGTCACGGATACAATAACTTATGGTGTATGGTGTTGATTAAAACTAGAAAAAATTGAAATGATGATGCTAATTACCCTTAATAAATGATTAAAATTTCAATAGTACAAGTTTAGTGGTGATAAAATTGTGATTAAAAAAGAAAGAACGAAAATGAAAGAAAGCGAGAGATATAAATAAAAAATATTCATTAAAAAATAAAAAAATAAAAGAAAGAACAAAAGCACCTCTAGTAAGGGTCCCATGCATTGTCTCCTTAGTGGACTGAAAGATGTGATTTTCATCTTTTTTTTTTCTACAAACTGCACCAATTCCATTTTCTTTCCCTTCTTCAGTATCCTTATTTTTTTCTTTCAAAAAAAAAATGAATCCTTCTACCATAGTCATGACAAAAGAGCTCTCCGCTGGATCATCACGATCCGGCGGTGAACAGTTACAAAATAATAATCCCGCACCGTTGAGTCGGTACGAGTCACAAAAAAGGCGAGACTGGAACACTTTTGGTCAGTACTTGAAAAATCAAAGACCACCTGTTCCGTTATCACAGTGTAATTGCAATCATGTTCTAGAATTCCTTCGATACCTTGACCAGTTCGGTAAGACTAAGGTTCACTTACACGGATGCGTGTTTTTCGGACAACCTGATCCACCAGCACCTTGTACTTGCCCGTTAAGGCAAGCCTGGGGTAGCCTTGATGCTTTAATAGGGAGGCTTAGAGCTGCGTACGAAGAGAACGGAGGGTCCCCGGAGAATAATCCGTTTGGAAATGGCGCGATTCGCCTTTATTTAAGAGAGGTAAAAGAGTGTCAAGCTAAGGCAAGAGGGATTCCTTACAAGAAGAAAAAGAAAAGGAAGCTTAATAATAATTCAATTAAGCCCATTGGCGCTGGTGTTGGTGCTAGTGCTGATCAACACAAAAATTTGATGCAAGCAAGCTAAATTATAAGGGTAAGTAATTTTCTTTGTTTTTTATATCAATATTGGTAAATTATACGTATCGTATGGACTTACTTCAATTTTGACTTTATTTCCTTATGGTTGTTGGTATAAAACTATAGGTATAAGTGACAAAGAATTGAATGATTTACTTATTTCTATGAAGTTTGTTGTTGTAATATCAACATCTTTTCTTGGAAAGTAAAATTATTATAAGCACAAGTGATATTTATTATTGCCAAAGTGTAACTAATTTTCGATTAGACCTTGATGTAAAAGGTTATTTACTAAATGAAAATCCCTAAAACCCTGATCTTTATGGTCACAGTGAAGCAATTGAATTTGAGGAATAATAGATATAGGAAAATTTCATCTCTTTTATTTTAATATTTGGGAGTATATATACATATATATAGTAGGGTATGAATAGTGCATATTCTAGTAATCTTATTATAACACAAATCTCTCTCATATTTCTTCCTTTCTCTCTCTCATATCATGCAAAAACAATTTATTAATTTCATAATTGAAACTTTTATTCTTCTAAAATATGTGATATTTTCAATATTTCTTGGCCCTTAAGAGATTTGGCAAGATTTTGTGTCTTAATGAGAAAACCCTGTGATGGTTACTATATATATATAGTTAGAGCAATTTATGAAGTGGAAACAAAACTTATATTGTCTTGGACCATTTTAAATAATATAATTAATAGAATCTTCTGTACATCACCAACAATCATATATGTATAATCATTGCTACAAAAAGTTCCAAACGAATATACAGATAATATATATAAGCAGACATATTATGCTTGCCTTTTGTACGTAGGTTCTAGCATTCAAGCCTTTTTCGTATTATTTGTCTGTAAATAGTCATATTTGTTGCTGTTAATTAAGAATATATTTTCAAGGTATACCTAGCTAGTTAGTCCTTTTGTAGCCTGTTATGTACAACTTCCTACTTAGGGAATGTCTCTTTTCTTCTAAGGGAACTTTTATGACCTACACCAAGAACATCCGGTGAATGGACAATTTAATGTGGGGCCAATACTAGGAAACAAGAATAGTAGCTTAACTCTGAACATCTGATGCATGAACAATTTAATACGAGCCTAAAATGAGGAAATAAAAATAAAGTTTAACTCTAAACATCTGATGTGTGAAAAATTTAATATGAATCTTAACATCAAGAAACAAGAATTGGAATAGACTTTGCTTTCATACAATATAAATATAAAATAGATCTTGATCGCATAACTCAATTTCAAAAACTAAGCCATGATAGGATTATTGTCCATGTCATATCAAAAAGACCCATTCATCCATAGATTATGAGTTTACTAGTGCATTTTAAGTTAATATACAATAATACGTAGAATCAATAGTCAATTTTTTAGTGAATTTCTTAATATATATATATATATATATATATATATATATATTAAGAAAGTGTGTGTTTGGGCAAAAGCTATTGGATTCTCGTGAATCTATATCTCGTTCAGCCTCTGGTGTCCCGTCTTCATTTGTTGTTTTTCATATTTGAAGTATACATAGGGGTTTATAATGCATAAGTCCCCTCACATTGGGGTTTTTTTTGGGGGGGAGGGGAATGTACCCGAGACTAAGGTGTTTATTAATTTTTTTTGTGTAATTTGGAAGTACTTGTGAGTAAATTAAGTGACATTCTATATGAGGTAAACATTTATTTTCTTTGTTACTTTGATTTATTTGGATGGTTTCTTATATTTTTAGTGGTTTTCTTGATGGAATGTAATTTTTGCACCATTAATATTTTAGTTTTCGAATTAAAGCATTGAGACTTCTATAATCTATTCTTTCTTCTCTTTTTTTGGAGTTGTACGTTCTCATGAGAATATGAACTCCTTACATGGTTTCGAATAATCCTTTCCTAATAAGCTAATTAGGTTGATTTAGGCTTAAAGTCCATCCTTGACATTTTATTATATGATGGTAATCTTAAGTTATCTTGATGGAATTTCTTCAACTTTTTCATTTTACAATTAGCTTTAGAAATTTAAGCATAGGAACTTATTTCTACATACGATCACTTTCCTAGCTCATTAAACGTACAAATACATAAATGTTTTCAATTTATGTGAACATTATTTACTAAGCACATATATTTTTATAAATAAAAACAAAATTGTTTGGTGTTTGTGGTCTAAACTCTTCAATATGTCATGATATTTATGTAGTTATATATATAAGAGCTTCTCATCAATGGTTACTTAAGTGGAAAGTTTTATTTAAATAGTTTCCAAATACTCCATTTTGAAAGAAAATTGTCCTGGTAAATTTTTACACAACATGTTATGATGATCATTAGGGTTTGTGCCAAATTTTGAACGATCACCAAGATTTGAGCACAAATCCTGACGAATCGCCAGAATTTTAGTCATGAATCGCCATAACTTGTTGCTTAGTCTTGATAGATAACAAATAAGAAATCCTAACGAATCACCATAGAATCAAAGGCAAATTTGCATTGAGCATGTCTCTGTGCTTCGTTAAAATACTCCACTTAATTTTGGGGTATGAGGACGAGTTATTTATCACTACATTCCATATAAAGTTGAGTGATATTTAAAATAAGTTAAACAACTAATGAAAGTTAAAAAATTTATTAAAATGATTTATGAAGTTGCAACTGCTTAACTCGCCTTCTCTATCACATTGAAAAAAGATTATTCCTCTCACAATGTATTATTTTACAAGATTTCCGAAAATACTGTTCCTAATATAATAAAATCTGATTTTCATTTTAAAGGGAAAAAAGAAAATGAACCTCATACAGGCTACAGCCCACAAAAATAACATAGTAGTATGTACTTTATGTTCATACTAAAATAAATATTATCCAACTACTGATTTTGATAAATTTATTTGAATGCAAAAAGGTAGGGATCTTGAGCATGGATATATAATTAAAGTCCTAAACTTTGATGCCAATGTTTGCTTTTCAATCTGTACAATGTTAGAGAAATTCATTGTTATTTGAGCCTTTTGTTATTAATAAAACATGTGAATTAACAAAAGTTAAAGAAAGAGAGGAATTTAGAAGTGGTTGGTCCAAAACTTTTGATCCCTCTGGCTCCATGTACTAAACTTTTAACTTCCGCAAACTTGATTTTGATCTTGAATGTTTGGGACATGACTTAGGGTCAAAATTTCAAGAACACCCATTCCGAAGTTATTTGAATATAATTCCTGAAGAGATAATAATCTTAGGTCTTAGCCGGTATGATTCTTTTTGCAAAGGGTCTCACACCATTGAGAGTTTTTTTTAAAACAATATGGAATTCATCCATCTAGGCTTTCATCTTTCGTTGTGGTTGAAGTTTGATCCATACCCTTACCTTGTATGTTATTTAATTAAAAGAATATAAAAGATAGACGAAAGAAACTACCATTTATATGAGATGATCTGGGGTTGTACAGTTCGATTGCACAATGTACATTCAATTTCCAAAAGACTAAGTAACATCTCCATGAACTATGACAAAGTGAATGATCAGGGAGGATTAAAAGGTTGTTCAACCCTTGTAATTTGCTTCCTTTTTCCTTGTTTTTCTTCTTTTTACGTGAGACTTTGTTCACACACACATACGATAATTCTCCTTTGAACTAAGTTCCAATTATCCACCTATAAGTAACTTTGATCTAGAATTTTGTCCACACATACCCAATATTTGTCATTGACGTTCTACATGTCACCTTTGTCATCTTCTAGCGTGGACACAAGTGGATCATTTGTCACAATATGAGTGACCTTGATCAAGGCTTGCATATAGGTTGATAATTTATAGATTCCATACTACAAGAAAGTTGGAAGGTTTAATTTGATTGAACAAATTGCAATCAATTGATGCAAAAACGAGTGACTTAGAGCTAGACTAGTTGCATTTAATTTGTGGATGACATATAAATATATGAACAAAATAAGTATATTTCTTTTCCCTGCTTCAGCCGTTCACAACATTATTTTTTTTTTAAAAAAAAAACAAACTCTCACATCTAAAATATGAAAGAGGGGAAAATAAAGATTAGGAATGAAGATATTCGGAACAAGGTGGGGTATCCTCTATGGTGAATAAAATGAAGGAGGCAAGATTGAAATAGCTCGGGCAGATGAAGAGGAGATGTAAGGATGTACCAGTGAGGAGGTGAGACTCTGGCTATGGTGGATATGGGAAGAGGTTAAGGTAGGCCAAAGAAGTATTAGTATGGAGAGAGTCGAATAGATTAGAAATCGCATACATGTAGCTTATCAAAGGCATGATCCGAGAGAGGAGGACTTGAAAATTGACGATTAGGGTAGAATATACATAGTCGAGTATTGTCTAGTTTTCAGTCTTATTCTTTGATTTTAGTACTTCTATTTGTTTCATTTGTCTCGATTATCTTTTTTTTATTGTTAATGTCAGCATAGCTTGCTTCACTATAATATTTTTTTTAGATACTTGTTTCTGATCTGTTTTATCTGAGCTAAGAGTCTATCGAAAATAATTTTTCTATATAGATAAAGGCCTCTCAGAGTGGAATATACGTAGTATGTTGTTGTTGTAAGTACTCTTCAAACTCTACTGACAATTTGTGCAGATATATCTAGTTTATTTAAATCTCGTCACTACTATAAATTTTTATTATTATTTGGGATGGATGGAGTAATCAATATTGCTATATCACTACTATTTCATGAATACTAATGCCTACAATCATTCACTGTTTTTTCTTTAATTTCATCTTTTTGTTTTTCTGGATATTTCTTACTTTATGCTTACCAAATTTATTGCAGATATATAGGGTGGTCACATGAATTGGATGTATCTGAAGTAGATATATAGAAGATGATGATGCCTGCCACAAGACAAATATGTACCTCAATATACTAGCTATCTAGCTAGTTATGTTTTCTTATTAAGTTATTATTATTATATTTTATATATATATATATATATACACATACTGAAGTCTTAGTCTATAATAATTTAGTTAGATAATCAGTTTCTTTCAATCAAATAACTGTCTTTTGGAAATTTGTTAAGGGATTTCTCCTCCGTTGTAAATTAAATTACTTCTCAGCTATTTTTATAAATATACTTTGCATCATTTTCAGCAGGAGTCATGTATAATAGTTGTAGTATTTCAGTTTCAGTTTTTTCTATGCATCTTTGTTTGTTTTCTTATATTTATAAATTCTTGTGTGTATCTGTAGTATGTATTGAGCCAGGGCGGAGCCACCTTTCGAGTTACAGGTGCACAGACTCAATAACTTTAGCTCAAACATTGTATTTATATATGTAAACAATCTATACAAAATCAAACTAAGTAAAAAGCATTCAAAATTCATTAAACTAAAAGTTCTGACTCGGCATGTGTATTTTGTGAAGCATGACTTGTAACAAATGGCCAAGAAAGATACGTATTTCTTTTTGGGGGGGCTTTTCTTTTCTAAATTAATAGATTCTGGTACATTAAGTGCATTTATTAATTCATTATATTTTGACTAAAGTTACTGAAATTTAAAAAAATAAAATGCTTGCTTCATATATAAATACAAAACAGTAATAACTTCATCTACTTTGAGATCTTGATGTAGCCAACATGGGAGGAATTGTTCACTTTAACCAAAGCTCCAAGCTCAGGTACAACCAAGCACTTTGATGACTCTTGTTTGTAGAAAAAGCCCACACATTTGCAATCTTTGTTGCACCTGTTTTTGCATTCACTTATTTTTATAGGTCCAACTCCTTCATTATAATCACTAGTAAAATGTTCAACTCCTTCCACCTTATAATAGTCCACATTTGATCCTCCTTTACATACTGGCAACTTTGGTGGTGCACATCCTTTACTCCACCCAATCAAGCCTCGAGGGCTCGGACACGCCACACATTGGCTGTCCTCGCAAACGCCTAATGATCCACACCTCATCGGTAGCTTGCATTCACTATTTCCATCGTTATCCCTATCGAGAAGTCGATATGTTACTTCCCATGCTCCCCAATCAACATTTGGTTCATAAGTGTACATTCTTAAATTACCATCCATATCAACTCTAAACATAGTGTATGTACTATTGTATTTAGGCCTAGTAAATATAGATGTACCAGAGCTAGAAGAATTGGTCATGTTGATCCTAAATCCTAGCTCAAAAGCATAATTTTCACCATACTCTGGCTCACAATAGAAATCAAAATTGGCTAAAGAGCCTTTCCCATTACCAAAATCATCTGATTTGAAATACGGTAAAGGCTTTTGTGAATTTACACTTGTATAATACATGGCCCAATGTCTCCCTTCTAGGACAAAACTATAAGGCCCATCAACAGGTTCTTTACTGGACATTCTACTAACAAGCTTATATGGGCCTGTAGCCCTTAAACTTTGGCCCACCAATAGTGTATCCGTTGGGTGATCAAAACTTTGCCAAACAAATAAATCATTTTTGTCATGTAAAACCAAGTTCCCATTGGGCAAAAGTTTTAGCCCAGTTACACCTTTGTTGGCAGTGTTTGTATGCCAAGCTACCGTGCCATCGACATCAGTTAGTACCAAATTCCCATCAATACCAAACGTTAGAGTGGCGTTTTCGCGGACAGGGTTGCCACGATTAGCCTCCCAGACCCATCGCATTATGGACTCAGATCTACGATGACCCATTCGTAGCCCCAGTATGAAGGTGTTTGGAGTAGAATTAAAGAAACAAAGGGTGAAAGGGAAGTTGACAATGTCCAATACACGATAATCTGCAAAGTATTCAACGGAGTATTCGCCGAATGAGCCTTCATTTGTGTACTTGAAGGTTTTGGAAGGAGGAACATTAGCTAATGTTACTATGAATAACGAACAAAATGTTATTACAAGCAAAGAAGAATATGAAGACATTGTTTTTGGTTTTGTGAATGAACAATTTTTGAGTTACTATATTTATACTAATAAAAAAATGTTGAATGCTATATCTTATATATCCAATGGATCAATTTATCCATGTATTTGACAAAGCATTTGTTGACTTTGAATAATTCATCATTGATCAAACTTAAACAACACACTTTTGAATCCACTAATTAATTAATTTCTTTTCACAAATCAATGGTTTTAGACCTTTTGATTCTGGTCAATGAAACCATGAACCAATTATATATAAATTTTTATTTTAAAAAGAAATCCTTATTGTAAGAACATTTATGGCTAAAGTTGGATCTATCTAGAAGCATCCACTCATGGTTGACATTTAAATTATACTAGTGATGGCTAGCTATGTGCTTACGTCTTTACCGTGTAACTTATATAGTCCTGCTACTTATTAATTAGTTGAATGACATTAATGTTCAATTTAATGGAGTTCATCGTACGTTTGCATAAGAAAATATGTGGAATCATGCTGTTGAGCTTTTAATTGCTCTACAATATAAACATTCAGATTTTCTCAATCCTTTAATAGTGATTTATGTAGCGGCGAAATTCATACCGTTTGACTTATTTTCAAAGCGAATTTAATATTAAAAATTTTAGATATATGAAAACTATATGAAAAATACTGTGAGTTGCAGTAATACGGTGAAAAAATATATTTTAAAATGTTGGTCTAAAGGAACCGTAGGGAGGGAGTAATTTGTAGAGATGAAATTATCAAAAACATATATAGTGAACCCTACAAGTATTTTTATGTACATATAAAGTTGGCCTGTAATTCTGTGTGGTACACTTTCTGTGCCATCAAATATTAGCTGTGAAAGTTTTTCAGTGAAATTTTGTGTATGTCATTTGGTTGGTCAAAGGATGCTGTTGCATGTACGTAGATCAGACAAGTTTGATTAGATCGAGTGGTCCTTTAGAGCGTTACACATTTTGTTCGAACATGTAATTTGAATTTCTTAATTATCATTTTTCTTTTTCATAAATATAAAAACTTCTACTATTTGAAAACTATCAATTGTATTATAGCTGCTAAACTGTCTGGCACATATTTATACAAACATGGAGACATTGAACATGTAGCTATAAATTATATACATTTTAGTAAGGACCACACGAGAAATGGGAGTCATAATATATGAGTTTTGACACCTTTTTTTGGAGAAATTAATTATAGCTACCACGTACGTATTGTAAAAGGTTCATGACAATCATATTGTTTAAAGCAATGTTCTTCTACCACACTTTGGAAGAAAATATAGTTTTTAATGGGTAGAGTTTAGAGTGAAAATCTTTTGCACTCTCATATACAAAAAATATACAGAGTTTGATCTGTCGAAGCCAAATTTATTTGTCACAAGGTTAGTTGAGTCACGTACAAACGTGTGGTGGCTTAGCCAGAAAATTCATGAAAGGTGTCTAAAATTGAATAGGTAATTAAAAATATTTAATGAATGGGTGCACTAAAAAAATTGTAAATCAAACTTATGTGACATTTATGATTAATTCTTTTAATAAAAGAATATACCAAAAAATTTATAATCCACTACATAATATTTAGTTTTAATATTCATGTTTATTTAATAGGATGTGAATGGACAAACAAAAAAACAAACAATTTAATTTAGAATAATCTCTTTTATGCTTCAAGATGATGACTAACAATGAAACATGAAAAATAAAAAGTATAACTAAACGAGCGTTATTAAAAGAAAATTTATATTGAGCCTTTATCACTTTCAGTAGCTTTATAGAAAAAAAATTAAATAAATAAAATTTGTTTATTGAATTTAAATTAAATAATTACTTTCGAATTTTGTTTAAATTTTTAAGAAAAATTAAAAAAATCAATTGGCAACTCAACTTTTTTCTCTTAATTAATTTATTAGGTAATATTCAACCTTTTTTCTCTTAATTAATTTGATATATAACATTAATTTTTGAATTATTTTAAAAATAAAAAACTTATTAATTATGATTTGGGCGTTAATTAGGAACCTTTCAAAAAATTCTCTTAATTAATTTAATTGATAATATTATTTTTTGAATTATTTTAAAAATAAAAAATCTATTAATTATGATTTAGGCATTAATAAGAAACCTTTCAAAAATTTCTCTTAATTAATTTAATTGATAATATTATTTTTTAAATTATTTTTACAATAAAATATTTATTAATTATGATTTAGGTGTTAATCAGCAACGTGTAGTTAGAGTGAATCGTTTAGGCATTAATCAGGAACCTGTAGATAGAGGTAATCGAACCCGCGCATAACTAGTTGTGCGCGCCTCAACATTGAGGAATCCAACTACGATATGACACTTTACTATAATTTTAGGATGTTCAAAATATGTTATTTAATTATCTATAATATTATTTTATTAATATATACTTTGTATTTTTCAACGAAGGGTGTCTAATTGACACCCTCAGCCTACTGTAGTTCCGTCACTGACAATGTGATGTCCAATAAAACAAAGGAAGTTTAAAAATAAAAATACTTTTTTTTTCAAACTCTGTCTAAACATGTTTGACTATGAAGTACAAAACTCAACTTATTTCTAAGAATTTAAAAAACGATTTAAAAAAATGAGGTATTTAGTCATAAATTTTGCACTTTAAAAATAAAATAAAATATTTAAATTTCACAATAAAACATAGTCAAACGTCCACTTGAGCTATTCAGTTAGAAAGAAAAATAGAAAAATTTAAATAACATTAAGTTACCAAGATCTCTTCTTCTATTGTTTTTATTTTTAAAAAAATGTATAATTTCAGTAAAATAAATCGAGGTGTGCCTATTGGGGTCTTTTCAGGGGAATGGAGTGTGGGGAGAAGAAGACAATTTTTCAATAACATAAATCAACAGTATTTGTGGCCTTTAACACTGTTGGGGTTACTAATTTTTTTTAGAAAACCCTACAAATAAATTCTCAAAAATAGTGTGTTTCCTATGACAAAAAAAATAAGTATAAAGAAAAATCCAATAATATGGGCATCAATTACATCCTATTTTTGAATTCTTCTTTATAATGATGTCAAATTTTTTAAAATTCATGGATACATTATTCCTTCAACAGATACATATCAAACGATATATAGGTTATGTATCAAATTTATACTGATTTAAGTTTTAAATAATGTGAATTTTTGTATCAACAATAATATCTAGATCAGATGCATTATTGACAAACAAAAT